TTACGAGCACTCTAAGGCTAGATAGATTTTTCAAAACCCCCTCTTTGCAAACAGGAGCTGTGCTAACTCATGGTATGTAATGGAGTTCACTAGGAAAAACCTGTGACGCAAACTCCGCCCAAGCTTTGTTTCCCAAAATTTTATAACAATAAGAAAAATAGTATTTTCGAAAAAAGGATACAGTTTTCTGCATACATTTATATTTACTAACATAAAAAGTGCCCACGTGAAATCTATTCACGATATTATATGACTTATACCATCTAACATGCATGTTCATAAGGCAGGGAATGAGTTTTGCTTGATTAAGGTTCTCCACACATTCACGCCATGTATTTAATTAAGCGGGAAAGGATTAAAAGTAGCAAACTATCCCCTCTATCTGGCGCTCTACTTTTTTCTGCTTTATCGGAACAAGCGTTCCTGTAATGCGTACTTTCTCATAGATTTGTTGATTTTCTCTTTTCCGAGATACAGTTTGCTCATATGCGTAGGTGTTTTCCCCGCCTTTTGCGTTCTCGTCGTCATTACATTTTTTATTGAGTTCTGTAGGAAAAAAAGAAATGATGTTGCCGTCTGGTCTCTTCTGGCGGAAAGCCTCACCCGAAACCATTAATGTCTCCATAAGAGGAAACTGGAAAACAAACCTTGAGAGCGTCCTGCCTGCTTTTTGCCCTCGCAGCATAAGTTGTTACTTTTAGCTCTGTCCTAGGTAAGTTCGCCAGGCGTTTATTAAAATCACGGATTTGACGTCTGTCTAGACGATCAGGTCAAATGAGCTTGCCAGAATTAAATAAACTTACAGTGAGCATAACTATCTAACTAAGCATGTTTAAAGCAGAGAAATTTGAGGGAGTGATTCCTGCGAAATGCAATGAATGCTGCCGTTATTCTAATGCTAAGCCTTATTAACAAAAGTGATCTACTGGAAACGGACAGACTAACCGCTATGTGCACCACACCTTCTTTGGGCGCCCTTAACATAAACTTCCAGCTTTAGCAAACTGTTGTTTGAATGTCGGCAGCTAATAATTATTTACGAGCGGTTGTGTAGGGAAAAGTGTCCATTCATGAGGCGTTGCGTTTAAGTAACATTAGTCACGGGATTACGGACTCAACTGTTGTGGCTTAAATCGCAGTAAACATCGGCGATATGATGGTAGTTACCCACCACCACTTCTCATCGCTCGAAAGCCGCATCTCAGTCCCGTCTCGCTGTAGTCGGGCATAATACCGCCAATCTCAGTGAGAGTGCTACCTGCAAGCAAAGAACAACGGTGAGCACCGCCCAGCACATCAGTAACCACCGCTGTCATAATCACCCTCATCATCACCTGTACCAGCAGCACAGGCATAATTCCAATTCGTCTGCATTGCGAACATATTCCAATCACGCACAGATCTGTTGGAGTCATCAGCGAATTGGCCGCACTGTGTCTTGAGAACCAAAGCCTTAACATTCTATGCACACGCAGCATATATGCTTTACCCGCTTACAATGTACCCGTTCATACAGACGCCTAATAAGCCTATTCGGTCATATGTGTGTACATGAAAATCCATTTTAAAAAAATTCACACTTTGGGCATTGCATTTAGTGCAAGTTTACCTGAAGTACGACATAGTCCACGTTTTCGTGTCCTGACCATAAATTATTGAATTTCTAATGTTCAGGTAATAAAATTAATGGAAATATTACTTTTCATGAAAGGCCTTTAGGTCGTCTGCTCGATTTTTTGATCATAATTGGAACCTGAGATTTCAAATGATTAAACTTGAGTTTTCACTGAAAAAGAATTGCGCGAGAAAAGTTTCCAGCTGATACACAGCGCGCCAGGCTTCATTAACTACATTGAGATTGTCTTATAAACGTATACATTTGATGTCCTTGTGTAAGAAATCCTTTCGGTTTGACAGCGTTAAGCCGATATTTTCACAGCAAACGTTTTCTTAGGTGAACTCCTCTGATGCTCACATGCTTTCTCACTTTCCCAATCGCAGACATTTCTTATCTGCACAAACTGAAATTTCCTTTTTGATTTGAATTGAACAACTGTGCCATTATTTGAAACCACTATTTTAGCCAGGGTAGCTCTTAGTATTTTGTCCCAAAATGAGGATACTGTATCGGTCCTCACTTAGGAAAGGCCTCTTTTGGTAATTATTTCATCCTATTTTACGGGACTCCTACAGGTTAAAAGATCCACCTCACAGAACGCGAGAATTTATTCTCTGAAAAAGTAGCAATACTTTTTATTTATAGAAGCGCGGATTCCTTTCTCCATACCTTTGCAGCATCCTGAGAGACTGCTGCTACTTTGTTTAATTTGCCTTCAAGTCTTCGTTCATTTTTGAATTGGTGGTGTTTATGGAGGACTTTTGTAATTTACTAGCCCAAATTATGGGATACAAAGCTCGACTGAAAGCTGTGTTTTTAATCACCGAAGCAGCTCAGTTTTCCATAAATGAGTCTGATGTATTACAGAATAATCAAATGACGATATTCTGTGGTCATATAGTCGTTCGACTAGTCAACGACTCTTATAACTCCAATTTAAATTTAAATGACGGTAACAGTTAGAAAACTGAAACGGGGATGTGACAGGTTGGATGGTTTTGTACATGATTTTTGCCCTCACAGTATAGTTGTCCCTATTTTCAGTTCGTTCATATATGATAGTTTGACTGTCGGGACCGAAGATGCCCACCGTGTGTTCCACAGCAAGGTGAGAGTAGGCACTGTGCATATATTCGTAATAGCTCGCCCACTGTTCGAATGCGCCCGTCTTAAAGTCTATCATTTGTATGTGTTGCGCAATCCTTTTTACATATATTCAACGTATTCGGACGCGACTACTGCCATTCGACTAAAAAGTGCGGGAAAAAGGTTGGAAGTAAATCTGCATATTAGGCAATTTCGACTTGTTTCCTCTTCCTTACCTTCCTCACCTTCTACAGAACACAGAATCTAAGTACCGTACAAATAAGTGCACACACGATGACATACAGTAGATGTGCTATCTCATAAAATGCTAACGAAATTCTGAAATGTGTTTTCAGTCCGACAAGATTGCTTGAGTGGGGTTCTAATATCAGTTATCATGTGACATAATTCCAAAATATTCCGGTCACGTCGGGACGGCCGGCTTTCGAGCAAGCTCCTCATCGACCGTCCGCCTAAGCTACATTCCGTAAAAAGGACTATTTAAGTAGCACGAATTTTCACAACAAATTTTCGGTGTCTTTACAAACTCAAAAATTCTATATAAAAAACACGCACAAACCTATTTTTTCTTTCACTCATTTGGTAGAAAATCAATTTATTTTCAAATTCTGGGCTTAAAGAAATGTCCCTTTCGACTTTAACAAAGTCTCCCATTAAGAGATTTTTAAGATCATGAAATTCCCAGTCGTACGGCATCGCACCATTGCATTTATTCATGCTGCCCATAAAGTGGGCAACGTGGTCTATATCCAGTAGTAAATTTTATGAGCTCTATATTTTCCCTCCATAGCAGCATATAGAAATGTATGATTTTTCCCGCACGAAAAGCATACTGTTTGAAGTTTGGAAACCCCGAATGTCGGTGTAACGACGGGTCGAGTTTAAAATCATTCGGGAATTGACAAAGTTTTTTGAAACCGGAAAATAATCTTCCTTCAGATATAAAAAATGGAGCAGGCGTAATTTGCTATCGAAGGAGTAAAAGAAAGAATACTTTTATATATGCTTTCGATTAAATATACGTGAATTAATAAGGGCACCAAAAATCAATGGGAAGATTTTGAGCTACTTAAGTAGCCACTTTTACGGAGTGTAGCTCGTACAGGTAGTCGATAAAGAGCTCTTTCGAAAGCCGGCATCCTGATATGACTAGAACATCTTAGCATTTTGTGACGTGACACTAAATACTGGAAACCTATAAAAGCAATTTCTAGTATTGAAAACACATTCCACAATTTCAGTCAACATTTCATCAGTCGGTCAGTCAGTATATTTGGAGCGATCGACAGAAGCCCTGCAAACTCCATTTAAACGGTTCAGGTGTGAGGGGAAATAGTTGAATTTCGAAAATTTTTGCATGCAATTTTAGTGTGCAGAATGCATAAATCTAATAGTGGAGCATAAATGTGAAAATGTTACGGCATTTGCGAAATAACTGCGAATAAAGTCGTCCACTGCATTCGCAATGTGTATAACGCACTTATAAGCCATGTAACTTCGCACAACTTAAACTTCTATGTAACCTTTTGGCCTGATGAAGAGTTACCGAAAACACGTCTTTGCTGAATTGACTTTTCAAAAAAGGATCTATTGAAATAATGTTAGTAGTATGTTGACAGTCATGTCAGTAATCCGCTATATCGGGCGTCGGCAGTTCGGGTTGCCTTTTAGCAGGTGATTATCCAGTTGTCTCTTGAACCCACTCGCGGTAGGAGAATTAACAACATGCGTCCGCAAAGAGTTCCATTGGCGAATGGCCTTCTGTGAGAAAAAGGAAGAACGTTGATTTGTGTGGCACAGTTCCCTTTTAAGCTGGTAATCATGTCTTCCGAGATTAGACCTTGGTGCCGCTTCAAAAAACGTTTCCCGGTCGACATCCAGATCAAGTCTACTGTATGAAGCTTGTCAAGTGGATTTCATGGAGAAAATACGGCCGGGAAACAAGAATAAGCAAGAGATTAGAAGAGCTATAATGAAGATAATGGGGAATGCCTCACGTCGATGATTCGGATTCAGTTCATTAAGAGACTATGTGGCGGTCCGCGCTTCTCTGCTCTCCGCCGTTCTGTCATGCCATCCCTCCGCCCGATGTCACTGCTCTAACAGCCGTTAAGGCTCTCCTCAGTCGTTAAGTTGTCACTTTGTTGCCCCTCCACTATCACGACCGACCTCGGTGCCCAATTTGAATCTCATCCATTTCGGCATCTTCTCTCCTACTAGGCTATACTCGCATACGCAGTACAGCCTATCATATAGCAGCTAACGGGATGATCGAATGGTTTCACCGTCAGCTGAAGGCCTCGTTACGCGCGCAGACAATCTGGAGGACTGGGTGGACCATATAACCCCGGTCTTGTTGAGTATCCTCTCCTCTCTCAAGTCGAACTCTTACTGCTCCGCCGCTGAACTGGTGTTCAGCGCCACCGTCCGACTGTCCGGTGAGGTGAGCTCGCCGACCCCGCGAGATACGGTTGAGGATCCTACCAACCTCCTACACCGTCTCCGGCAAGTCATGCTGACATTCTCCCTTGTTCCGCCCAGGCCGTTCGTCTCCGAATCTTACCTCAAGAAAAACCCGTCGACATGCTCTTACGTCCATCCCCGATGGGATCGGGCCCGCCGGCCACTGGGACCACCCTGTGACGGCCCCTTCCGAGTTATCTCACGTGGGACGAAGACCTTCCGCGTCCAACACGGAGCTGGCGTGTGGCCGCCAAACATACTCACTCTTCCCTTGTGTCCTCTGTATGCATCCCACGTAGTGGATGCCATGTGCATTTTCCTGGCCGTTTGATTACTGATGTTTTTTGGACATGAACCTTTCCTTCGGCGTTGCTACACGCCGCGTTCGGCCTACCTGGGGGCACTGTGGCAGTCCGCGCTTCCCTGCTCTCCTCTGATTTGTCGTGCTGCTTTTCTGTCCGTCTCGCGCTCCCTGCCAATTCGCTGCTGGGACCACGCGAGACTTGTCATTAACCTCGCGAGTGCTCGAGTCCAATCAATGCTGTCCCTTCTCTGATTGGTTGATGTGCACTAACTGAGACAGAGCGAAGCGCACGCGCGTGCGCGCGGCGGGCTAAAAACGTCAACGGCTGACAAAAACAAAACAACTTGCCGGGATAGATAACTTGCGGCAACTGCTTTCGGAGCCGCTTGTACGCCCTTACACGTCAATAAAGTTGCCCAACCCAATCTGTTTTCCCCGACTTGGGATTTGAGAATCTTTGTGTTGTCGATCATCACACTTCGACGACTATAGTTCACTTAGTCATGAGTGTCTATCACAGTAAAATGATAGACCTGCTTACTGGACGGAAGAAAAAAAGTTGCAGTCGGAGGCTGGAGAAGGAGGTTAAATGGCAGTTGTATTATTGTTTTGAATAATAAAAGGCTGCCCTAGACGCCAAAAAAGTCCGAGGGTTGCATGGGATTGAAATATATCCAGCGACTTTTAGCCGGATCGCAGATCTAGGGACGGCGCTTTGAGGAGGATGAAAAAGACAAAGGACGATACTTTGGAAAGTGACCTTCAAACAGTGTTAACGATCTATCACGTTGATCATTGTTTTTGCGGCAGTTTGAGTATTCTGAGTAATGCAAATCATTTAAAATACAATTGTTTGATAAAGTTAAAGCCATGTTATTTGTCCTTCTGATGCAGATAGGGGTTACAGGTCGAGAACTCAAAGGCCTTACGGCTCCCCATAATTCACGTAAGACAAAATGATCTCTCGCGTATACATTTACATCTCCAGTGTTTTTTGCCAACTGACCTATGAAGATCGACCTTGAAAGCCCATGGAAAAATCAACCGACACTAACTGCGTACTTTCGACTCCTAATATAACGAGTAAAAGCCGCTCGCGAGTAACGTGAGATTCGACTATTAAGTGGTTATCGCCAATGTTCGGGTTTTAATTTATAAAAGAGGACAAACATTATCGTTTCGAAGATGAATTCAGTAAGGCGACTTCTGGTCCAAATTCTTTCGTTCAGTATTTCGAAATCTAGCCGAAACCAATGTTCAAGAATGAATTAAAATATGCAAATTAGGTGCGCATAAAATCCTTCCGCCGGGAGTGGACATTTCTTCCTCCTTGTACTGTGGCAACTCGGCATGCCTTTGCCGAAATCTCTGGGTGAGTATCACGTTTCTCAGAGTTGACGTCAGACCCAGTTCTCCAATTCTTCAATGATCTCCATACCGCAGACGGCGAAATAATAGCTTGGGTAGGTTGAGAGGATTGACACACGGGATGGGTAGTGATTTGGCCTAACAATCATATCAACAATTTACTAGCGGTGTCCCTAATTCGACCGGCCTTGCGACTATCACGTTTTAACCAGCAAATAATGTCATATATCGAGCATTTTGAAAAAGTAGTTGCTCACACCAGGGCCTGGCATATCTCTCAAAGGGGCGATGAACCCTACAACATTTCCGGTCCGCAAGAACTTGAAGGGTGCGCATAATTTCGCGATTTGGGCATCCATAGTTTACATCTTTTGCCCTTCATCCATTGTTATTTTTTGAATTTTCTCAATTCTTTCTTAGTACTCTCAAAATGGGATTTGAAAGCTAACACTGGTCACTTGCACAGCCTACGCTGATGATATTCGTTTTGTACGTTACTGTTCATACCATGCATATTTTCGTTCCGTTCTGCCTCTCTCTAATTGGTACTCTTTAACGTGCCACTTTTGTAACCTAAGTGTATTCATTTGCAAATTGAATTTAAAATAATAACATCAAACTGGGAAGGTAATAAAGGAGTTTTTGCACTTTTATTCGCTTGAGTAGATCCAATCAGAGGTAGGGCCAGGCAATAAGTGGCTCCGTATTACAGGTGACTCGGAGCTGAATTCCAGGAGGGTAAGAATGATCGGCGTGAGAGTTATGCTAAGGGTTTAAGTCGGGGCACGATGATATGTACCCCCTGGAACTAGGCGCAAGGCCATTGGCAATACGAGGGTCCTTATTCCCATGCACAACCCAAACAGCATTGCAGTTAATCATATTTGTTCTCGGTGAGTATTTTTCAGACCTGCTTCGGCTGCTGTCGAACTTACATGTCTTCGAGAACAATGGGCTAACACGTGTTAACATGCCGGCCAAAATCACAGCTTTTTCAGCTCAGTGGGACTACAAATGACTCAAACCACCGCCAGGGTAGTCTGTCAGCAGCTAAACCGCCTCCACTGCAAAAACTAGGGTTAACTCAAAGAATTAACTTTCCTCGACATTGATATGGACTTCGGTCCTTGACTTTTCTAGTAGGTTTGGACCAGGGGGATTAGATTCGGCAGTATGTTATCATATAGCATGACGGAGTAGAGGAATTCATGACAGACAGCGTTAAACTGAGAGATAACATTCCAAAAAGCGTTGGAAAGGCGCTGTTTGCAACTGGGGTGGTAATCGCCGGCTTAGTGGGTCAAAGGGAAATGATAAATACCCCATCTACCTGATCGCAGTCTATGCTGGCGTCTCATTGTCAACGCACCACACTATGGGCCGAGCCAACTAAGGACAAGAGTAGCGGAGGCTCTGTGGAGAGTTCAGAAGAGGGAGAATAACGGCATTTCTTACAAAGCAGTCTGTAGCTCCTTTTAAAGACCTCTGTGTTCTTGTCTTTGGCCACCAAGTCTGTCTCTCAAATTTACTTCAGAAGACTGCTTTCACTGCGTCAAGCTGACAATATGAGCAATGGTCAGTCTGCAACCTAGAATCTCATAGAGCTCGTGGGTCTCCGCCTCAAGACATGCTGCCTTCAAAGGAATCACATACGAGCAAATCACCGGCATTCGCATGGATTCTCTAATCTGTATGCTCGTTGATAAGGTGATTTTCCAAAAAGAACTCGAAATACGGCTTTTTGAGGAGTACCAACGCGAAGTTTGGGCACGTCACCCTGCCGATGCCTTTTCATCATTTCTCGCGACAGGATTGTTTCCTACAAAGAATGATTGAGCTCGGCCGCTCCCGATCTACAGCTCAGTTACGTTTCGGCTGTGTTCGTCTACCACCGGCTAGATAGCCAGTTGGCGACACAGTTTACGGAAAATCGACGAAAATGCTGCATATGCTTAATAACGATGGAAACCACCCACTAAAATACGATGGAATCTGTGTGTGCGCGCTATACCGGTTTTTGGAAACTCATTGCAGCACGCCAGTCTCCAAACAAGATCAGATATGGTTTCCAAGATAGCTCTTTAGAGTAAACGATCGTACACAAGTGCTCGTTGGGAGAGTCGAGGACCAGAATAAAGAGTGCGATCAAACGAAATCCTGGCAAAGTATTGACGAGAATGGTAATGTTCTCACGAATTAACGATTTATGTTTCACGAGCCCCTAGCCTTAAAGGCAGCAAGTAAAACTGAGCAATGAATAATATAGAGATTCTGAATTAAAAGTAACCTGACATCACAGCGCGACAGCAACGCAGGCCAGCAAGGCGGGTTGTACAGGTGTGTCGTTTCTCGTCACATTAAAACAAGCAATCCGGTCAAAGAAAATGGGACTAAATTGTCAAAGGTAAATTAGTCCGATACCTCACCACAGTGCCCCCCCCCCTACTAGACCGGAGGGCGACGTAGTACGGCATCGGTGGATATGCATAAGTCTAGAAAAAATGCGTAACTAAGCGATCGGGGCAATGAATGTGACGGCCACTGTGAGTGATGTAAACAGGAGGTACAGGCGAAGAGGGTTGACTGCGTGCTATGGTTGAGGATTATGTTGCAGTTGAATGCTATAGGCTTTTAGGGAGAGGAAGGGATGGAAGGGTAGAGGGCAAGGGAGGGGAGGGACGAGGCAGTGGGCAGGGTGAACTAGCAGAGATAGAGAAAATGGAGGAACAGGGGTTAGGGGGTCAGCACATTTTTGTCCTTGTGACAGGTCCGGCGACTCCTCTGCAACAGCAGCCCTGACCCGATCGACACTGACCACGTCCTCTTTGTCACCGCGAAGAATCCGGCAGGTCTTGGCGTTGCGCGCCAGCACGCGGAACGGCCCTTCGTATGGTGATTCCAGCGACTGGCGCACACTGTCACACCGGACGAACACATGAGTACAGTTGTCCAAGTCTTTCTCGGCATAAGACTCAATCATTGGAGTTCGAGGTAGAATCGGGAAAAGCGAGCGCATAAATTGCTACAAACGGTGCGCAAGGTTGTCAGGAGTCTCGTCGACCCCAGAAGAGCTTGGGGTGATCGTCTCGCCTGGCAGCCGGAGGATAGTGCCGAAACCAATTCAGCTGCGCTACAGCCCAGATCCGACTTCAGAGCTGCGCGGATGCCGAGGAGTGCAAGAGGAAGGTTGTCCGACCAGTTTCCTGGGTCTTCTATGACACGCAGGGCGGTCTTTAGCTGGCGATGTAAACGCTCAACTATACCGTTGGCAGCTGGCTGCTAAGCTGTCGTCCGAATGCGTGTGCAGCCAAGGAAATTGAGTAGCGTTTGGAAGAGTGCCGACTCAAACTGGGCACCACGATCAGTCGTAATCGTCGATGGTACACCGAACATGGCGACCCAACGACTAACGAAGGCCTTCGCGATGGTTTCAGCCTGCGCATTTGGCAAAGGAATAGCTTCAACCCAGCGGGTATATCGATCGACACAGGTAAGGAGTTGGGTGAAAGCACTGGATGGAGGCAAGGGGCCTACGACATCCACGTGCACATGGCTGAACCGTGCGTCGGAACTGGGGAAAGTGACTGGTGGGGACTTGTTGTGACGCTGCACCTTGTTGCGCTGGCAGCTCAGACACGACCGGGTCCAAGATTTGCCGTCCTTGTTCATGCCGGGCCAGACAAACCTTTCCGCGAGGAGCTTTTGAAAGGCTCGGATTCCAGGGTGGGAGAGTCCATGCAAAGTTTGAAATACAGCTCGACGCATCGAGACGGGCACGAAAGGGAGATGAAAGGGAGTTTAGACGCCACAAATTATGGTACCAGAGCCGGTGGTCAGAGGAACCTCTTTGAGTTGGAGACCACTAAAAGACTCGACAGGACAACCGACTCGATGTTGCTCAGCCGCCATGGCGCAAAGATCGATCCCCTGTGAGAGTTGGAGGGGAGAAAGTGAGGATCTGGACAGCATATCAGTCACTTCATTCTTCGTGCCATCAATATGGCGGATGTCGGTGGTGAATTGGGAAATGTAGTCCAGGTGGGCGATTTCCCTCGGATTGTACTTGTCGGAATGGGACCGAAGTGTAAAAGTCAACCATTTGCGGTCCGTGAAAACAGTGAAGTCCCGATCTTCAAGGAAATGCCGGAAATGCTTCACAGCCAGGTAACTGGAAAGTAGTTCTCGGCCAACGGTACTGTAACGTGTCTCGGCTGGTAAGAGCTTTTTGGAGAAAAAGGCAAGTGGTCGAGTCGAGCCAGCAGGGTGTGGTTGAAGGACCGCACCTACGGCTACGGTCGAAGCATCTACCATCAGAGACAACTGAGCTTCGGGAGCGGGATGCGTGAGTAAGGTGGCGTCGGCAAGGAAATTCTTGATTCCCTCGAAAGCAGTTAGTGCTGCACCAGTCAGATCGAGGAGACCTTTGGGACCAGAAAGCATATTGGTGAGCGGCAAAATGAGGTCAGCACAGTTCGGTAGGAACCGGCGGTAAAAACTGACCATGCCGAGGAATCGCTGCAACTGACGCTTGGAAGTTGTTGGAGGGAAATTACGAACTGCTTCAACCTTGGAGGGGGGGACGCAAACCGTGATCCAATCTGATGGCCGAGGAACTCAAACGAAGGCACACTCAACACGCACTTGGGGGGGTTGATGACAACGCCAAACTTATCAAGACGGTCAAACACCAAGGCAAGATGCTCTTTGTGTTCTTCCATATTCCGGCTGGCCAGCAAGAGGTCATCGATGCATGCATACACAAAGGGTAGGCCACGTAAGACATGGTCGATGGACCTCTGGAACATTTGGGTGGCATTAAGAGGACCGAACGACATGCGGATGAATTCAAAGAGGCCGAAGGGTGTGATGACGGCGGTTTAAGGGATGTCCTCAGGGGCGACTGGAATCTGATGAAAAGCACACACCAGATCAATCTTCGGGAAAATCTCTTTGCCGAAAAAGGCTCCAGTAAAGTCCTGAAGATGAGGCAGGGGGTACCGATCAGGAATGGTAGCGCTGTTAAGGGCCCGATAGTCGCCACAGGGTCGCCAGTCGCCTGATGTCGCCTTGGGAACCATGTGCAGTGGAGACGCCCAAGGGCTCACGGACGGTCGATTTATTTTCAATTGCAGCATGTGTTCGACCTCCGCCTTCGCGGCCAGAAAACGCTCCGGTGCTAGTCGTCTTGGCCGAGAAAGCAAAGGGAGGACCTGAGGTGCGAATATGGTTCACAACATCATGCTGGATCTCGCCACTACGAAACTGGGGGTTAATTATGTTGGGGTGACTAAGAAGCAGTTGCCGAAAGGGGGCTAGCAGTATCCGTATCCAAGACAGATAAGTTGGTGGGGTCAGCAAAGGAGTTAGTCCACGATCAAACAGACCGGTTGTGCGGTCGAGAAGACGGGCACGTCGGCAGTCAACAAGGAGATCGAACTCGGCAAGAAAGTCCGAGCCGAGGATTGCATGAGGGACATCAGAAAGCACAAAGATCCAGTTGAATGACCGACGAAGGCCAATGTTCGGGGTGAGGGACAGACTGCCAAAAGTGGGAATGGGGGAACGGTTGGCAGCTTGGAGGTGAAGACCAGGGCTAGGGAAACGACGAGCAGCTGCAGTTGGGGAAGCAACGCTGATTTGGGCTCCAGTGTCCACCAGGAAACGTCTGCGAGTCGCAGTGTTGCAAGCATAGAAGGTGCGACCAGAGCAGGAATAGCCAGGGAAAACGGTCGCATCTATTCTTGGCTGACTGCTTTTCCTGTTTCGGCTTTAAAGAGCAGGGTGAGGAACAGCGACGGGCCTTAGCGCCGAAATTAGTGTGATACCAACAAATATCGGCAGTCCAAGGTCGCGAACGAGAACGACGACGGCTGCGTGAGCGACTGGAAGTAAGGCGGGCGAGCTGTATTTTAAGGGATGCCATCTCATCCGCCATGGTGGACACCTGCTTCATTAAATGCTCATTCACTGACGATGAGGATGAGATCTGGGCAACGGAGGGTGACTGGAACCGCTGCGCCTCTATCATGTGATTTGCCATTTCAGCCAGCTGTGAGATCGTGAGATCTTGAGAACCGGACGTCATGATCGTTTGAACATCTGCAGGCAGACGCTCTAGAAACATCTCCATGACGAATTTATTGTCAACCTGCATGTCTCAAAGGAGAGAACGCAGTCGACGTAGAAGTTCTGAGGGCTTCCGGTCACCCAGTGACTCCTTCTTAAGTAACTGGTGATGCCGCTGTCGGTCGAACACAGAATTAAGTCAAAGACTTCCTGCCTTTAACGTGGAGGACGGAGCAGCTGCAGGAGGGTTAACTAACAAGGACTGAACTTGAGAGATAGCACTAGCGGGGAGAACCTCCACAAGTTTGTGGTATTTCGCCAACTCCTCGGTAACGTTAGCAGAATAAAAGGCTGATTCGGTGCGGAGGAAATCAAGTTCTGGAGCGTGTTGCCAGAATTCAGGCAAGGTAAATTTGATGGCATGAAGGGAGTGGACGGGGGCATCAAGTTGTTGGTTGGAATGAGACATAATAAGACAGAGGTGGTAAAATATCAGAATTCGTAAGAAAAGTAAACGTAAATGGAATAGATATTCACGAAAAAATAGTACGTTAAATGTTATTCAGTATGACATAGAAAGGTATAAAGTCTGCGTTAACGTCGGGAGTCACCAATGACGAGAATGGTAATGTCCTCACGAATTAATGAGTTATGTTTCACGAGCCCCTAGTCTTAAAGGCAGCAAGTAAAACTGAGCAATGAATACTATAGAGATTCTGAATTAAAAGTAACCTGACATCACAGCGCGACAGCAACGCAGGCCAGCAAGGCGGGTTGTACAGGTGTGTCGTTTCACTTCACATTAAAACAAGCAATCCGGTCAAAGAAAATGGGACTAAATTGTCAAAGGTAAATTAGTCCGGTACCTCACCACAGTATTAAGAACATGAAGGGGGTCTCCGAGGCCAAAGCAAGATCTCTTGAATCACTCGGAGCAGGAGTTGCTCATAGGCATGACTCATCACCTCGCAGGCAAGCGATGTGGTCATAACCCCCATGACTCATTAGGAGAACTCCATCGTCGTCTGCTGACTCCAGTAAGGCTGTGGAACTACAGCTACACAGGAGAGACGAGCTGACGGTTGTAGACGCGAATGCGCGAACATCAGTTGGCAGATCGAAGACTGGACCCAAAATCAGGGATGCCTAGCCATGTTTTGCCGACAGGATACATCTTCACGCCTCAAGTCAAGGGCAGGAATCCTGGATGTCCACCGACTGCTCCGTCAGCCGCCATACAAACCTGCCTCCTTCTATATGGCTTTCTTGACAAAAAGCGGTACAGACGAGAAGAAATCGGGGCTGCCAGTTATCATTGCGGTTCATGAAGGTGGAAACGACGCATATAACGATGATAAGGATATGTTTCACATCCATAGTCGGCAAAACATGCTATGTAATGAGGACTGTGCGCAATACTCCCATTCTCTGAAACTGGGTAGCCGAAGTCATTACTCGAAACATCAGACCGAAAAACGTCTCTCGGTGAACGCTTCGCTTTCCGCTTTACTCTAGTTTAGTTTGATTATCGCATCCAGTATCTCATAGGTAAGGGATGAGCTTTAGTTACAACTACATTCTGGTTCCAAATTGTCAACATTCTAGATGAATGTCCAGTGAGCCCTGCCACACCGGCTCAAGAGTTAAGCAATGCTCCCTCCAAAAGCATGTCTTGTCGGATAGTGAGTAGTCGCCTCTGACTGCTGAAACAGACGGATCATGAGACTCGCTCCAGGTAAAATCAGATTCTCAAAAGCGATTTTGCCTGTGTTACTGCAGTTAAGCGCCAGAGACAATCCGACAGGAGGCTCTGCCAGTTGCAGTACTCCTAAGACGGTCACCACCATATTTCCTCGCAGATTTGCCTTTCGAGAAAACTTTGTTTATACCTTTGCCAAGCCCCTCACAAGAGCGTGGAAAGACTCACTTTAGCTGCTGTTTTCGACGCTACGTTCCACGTGGAAGTCGAGCACTCAGCCGGCCCAACGTGCTCAGACAAGTGCGTGACACTTCGGCCGTCGCGACCAAAAATGTCCACCCTGTGCTCCACAGCAGGGTGACAGCAAGCACGGTGACTTGTGCGCGATTTCTTTTATAGTAGACTTGTGCCGCATCTACCGCACTCCCACCTTCTCCAACACCTAGATCCGGTGCCAAGGCATCGTCAGAAGGACTGGAAGCGAGAGAGGACACAGGTGCCCGGCGCGGCCGAGTCCGCACCTAGGCGTGCCACCACACTTACATGTCCACAACAAACACTTGACCAGGATTTTATAGAGAACATGCGTAAAAATATGATTTTTTGCTCAATTGGTAGGAAATCACATTTTATTCATATTTTATGCTCGAAGGAAGTGCATATTTTCGTTTTAAGAAAGTTTCTAATTATGAGATTTTTAAGACCGTGCGATGTCCATGCATGTGAGACCGCACATGTACGTTTACTAATGCTCCTCATACAACACAGTCTGGATCGATTGTAAAATTTCATGAACTCTGTGTGGTGTCTTCTTAACGGCATAGAGGAATATATGATTTTCCCTACGCGGAAAGCATGCACCTTGTAGACTAAAATCGCTAAATGCTGATGCACTGGCAGATCAGGCAGGAAAGTATTCGGGAATTGGGAAAATTTTTTAAAACCAAAGTACATGCTTTCCCCGGGCATAAAATATGAAGAAAATGTCATTTCCTCTCAAATGAGCAAAAATGCATATTTTGTGCATTTTTTTGCAAAATATATTTAAATTTATAAGAGCATCGAAAATCAATTGAAAAAAGGCATGCTACTTAAGTAGTCATTTCATACCGAGTGTGGTTTCTGCAGGAGGTCAAAAGGAAGTGCACTCAAAAGCCGACATCCTGACGAGTAGGAAATGTTATAGGGCTATGCTGCACGATAATCAATATAACAACCGCACTTAAGTAATCCTGCCTAATCAAAAACACATTCCAGAATTTTGACCAACATTTCATGAGATCGGTCACGCACTGTAAGTAACCCCGGTCATAAACCACACTCGTGTCAAAGTCCTGGTCAAGTTTTTGTTGTGGACCAGGCAGTGGTGGTACGCCTAGGTGCGGATCCAGCCAGCCACCCGCGCCCTCTGCAGCCTCTTCTAACTAACAACAACAGAAGCGACACCTAGGGGCGTCTTCGTTCGCCCCAACAACACCAACAACAAAGGAGCTTGGCGTGACCGAAGCCGCACTTAGACGTGCCGTCACACCTGGCTCGGATCCCACGAAGTGGTAGTGCCATAAAGACCACATTAAGAAGGTACCGTTGCGGCCTGACCCTCAGACCACCGGCTCGCATTCTACACAAACACACACTGGGTGAAGTATGAGATCCAAGTTATCCCGTCAGTTGGTAACCTTTCAAGCCACGGATTTTGGCGCATCGTGGGAGCTTCACACGCATCAAATTGTTTGTA